ATATGGACATGCACAACTGCACACACACACACACACACACACACACACACACACACACAAAGGAGGAAAGCATATATTGTGATTATTCCCTGTGGGGGCTAGAAGCAGAGCAGTTGTTCATTTCTGTCTTAAGGTTCCAGCACATAGTACGTTCAGACATTTACCCCAGTGAATCAGAATGTTTAGTGTGTCCTGGGGACACTTCTCCACATCTAATCTTCCTGTACGCAAAGCAAAGGATAACTGGATGCAACTGCCAGGGGGAAATGTCTATCCGTTATTGGCAAATGACAGCACAGATTGGAATTTGAGATAAACAAAGTATTTAGTCTACGTGTGTCCCGAATGTCCTGTAATTTTTCTGTCAATTCTGTGTGAGTTTTGCTATGTTTGCCGTTGGAATGGGATACAGCATTAGAGAGACAAAAGAGTAAGTTGAGCTTCCCCCACCTCTCACCTAGGTTCTGAGGTAGCAATGCATTCTTGGTTCTAGGCATCTATGTTCCTTCACTCCCGTGTTGTGGCTGCAGCATTCAAGGCCCTTGTGTAACAGTGAACCAGCTTGGTATTCCCAACAGCTGCTTCCGTAGTGAGGAATATTGTTCAGTATTACAGGACTGTTATGATTCTTGAATTCTTATCCAGGTATGTTTGATGTGACATACATGAAGCACGACTTTTAAAAATCATATTCTTAGATTCTGCATAGGATCAGTTGTCTTAGAAAGTGAAAGTAGCCATGCAAAGGTTAACATCCTGTAGGACAGAGAAAAACTATGTTGTGATATTTTCAATTTGACCACAAAATGCCCCAAATCACCTATTTCTTCCAAGTTTAAGTTCTACTTTAAAGCTCCTTTGATGATGTCACTCCCCAGCAATTGAACAGAGTAGCTAATCTTTGAAATTGAAATTAATAAAAAATAAATAAAAAGCACATCAACTCAGTTGGCATTCATGCCAGGTACTTTATATGATAAGTTTAATTATAAGTTTACTTGAAATGAAAGCAGAAATAATTTTCATGGAATAATCTATATTTAGTTAACTGCATAGGTTTTTATTTTATTACTCTGCCTGAAATGCTGACCCAGATGCAGAAATGCCAGACATATCTAATAATATTAATTATTACATTTTACTCTTATATAGTCATTAAAAAAACCTGTAGTTTCATGAATTTCCTTGCTATTGTAAAGGTCTGGTTGGCAAGGTAAAAGGCCAGCAGATCTTTCACTGAACAGTTTGTTAATTTGATTTATAACATGTAGCTATTTAAACACAGGCCAGAGGCTCCTCCGATCCTGCAGATGTTGGGGGGACCTCTGCTCTGAGGACTGGCTGCCCCTGTCTTCCTTTGTGGCCTCCGGTTGGGGCTGAGCTGACTCATTTCGGGCTCCTGGGAACAAACAGCACTTATTCTCCTGTCACATTCTGCCAGTGAAGTCTGAAGACACCAATTAGTGTATTTAGGCCAGCGGTCAACTGCCGCAGCCTAAATGGCTCGGCTGAGAGAACTGTATTCTCAAGCATGGGAAGGCTGGAGGGTCTGAAATCTTGACCTTGAGAGAGCTGCTTCTTTCTCAGGCTGTGTGGCCAGCATGGGCTCCTGGCCTCTCCTGTGACTCATCCTATGTCTCAGATGATCACTGATGCCCCTTTACTTGTAGATATGTCACTTATTCTCTGCCTCGTGTTCATGTGGCACTCTTCCATTGGGCATACCTCTATGTCTAAATTCCCTCTTTTTATAGGAAAACAAAAACATACTGGATTGGGAGCACATCCTAATGACTTTCCCTTAATACAACTGATTACATCTACAATAACCAGATTTTAAATTAAGGTCACAATCTGTAGTATGAGGGGTTAAGACCTCAATATATGAGCGGGAGGTGTGTGGTGGGACACTATTTGACACTCAGTCTTATCTAGTGGGTGAAGTTGTAAATGGAATTCCTTTGACTTGAGTTGGGGTTGGGCATGGGGCTGAGGACAGGGTTTGAGGTTGCAGTGCAGGTCAGGCACCAGACTACTCAGTTGTCACATACTCTGTAATTTAAAAGAACAAAAACAAAAACAGAAAACAGAGCGGGGCAAGGTAACACATACTTGTAATTCTAGCACATGGGAGGCTGAGGCAGGAGAATTGCAAAATCAACTCTCAAAGCGTCTCTAGTGAGACTTTTTCTCAGAAAAGAAGAGAAAAAAATTAAAGTTTTGTGTTTGTATTTTGGTGGAGGTGGAGATGGGCAAGGAGTCTCCTGTATACAAAGGTTTTTGGAGTTCAAGGGCAGCACCATGTTACCAACCCTGAATGCCAGCACATTACCCCTACTTGCTGATCAATGACAGAGCCATAATTTTCTCTTTAGAGGAGAAGTTAGAAGAATCTTAAGTGATTTTTCAACAGGATGTGTGAATTTAAAGCTTAATTGTATTTAGGTTAGGTCATATTGATACAAAACATCAAAACAGAACATCCATTAAAAAAGCAAAAAAAAGCACATCCATTAACTAATCTATTTCCCAGATTGCCCAAATCTGAGAGGAGGCACCAAACTCCAAGCTATTGATTTTCCTTTCTTGAATATCAAAAATATGTAATAAATTTTGGAAAAGGAAATTCAAAATTAAAACGTTTAGTTTTTCAGCTTTTTAAAGATTTGACAATGAGTAGAAAATGCCCACAATATAAGGAAGGGTAATTGTGTTAGTAAACTTTCCATGACTAATTACCTGGGTCTGAAGAGGTGGCTCAGCAGTTAAGAGCACTGGTTTCTCTTGAAGAGGACCTAGGTTTGGTTCCCAGCACTCACACATGGCAGCTAACAACCACCCATAACTCCAATTCCAGGTCATTTGATGCCTTCTTTTGATCTCTATGGGCATTGCATGCAGTACACATTGGTGCATTTATATACATGGAGACAAAATGCTCATACACTTATAATTTTTTTAAAAAATCAAACACACAAACAAAACAAAACACCTGCAGAAATCAACTTGTAATGAGAAAAGGTTTGTGCTGGCTCATTGTTTTGGAGTTCTCAGTTGACCCCATCACTTTGGACTTGGGGTGAGGCATATAGGAGGTTAGGAGTATGTGGTGGAGCAAAGCCATTGATCCTGTGGCCAGGAAGCAAAGAGGAAGTAGAAAAAGTTGAGGTCCCATAATCCCGTTCATGGGCTCACTACCAGTGGCCTAAGCATCACCCACCTTATCTCCTAAATGTTCCACTATCTCCTACTAGTGTTACCCTGGGTATTAAGTCTTTAACACATTCAATATCCAAACTCCAGCAATACACAAAGCTAGCTTGGTCCCTGGTAGGGGTTGAATGGTTATTTCTGGCATGGAGAGACACAAATTAAGCACCATGACTGTTCGTGTTTCCAATACCTCAGTCTCCAGATTTCAAGGACATAATCTACTTCATCAGGCGAGCCCCACAGTTATGTTACCACCATCTTGCTATGCTGACCTGGACAGAGAATCTGACAGAAGGAAAGGGCTGCTTGTGAGGATTAGCAATAAATCTGTTTCAGTTTTCTCCTGACTTCCATCTCTATCTGTGTGAGTATGTAGACTCAAAGCACAGAACACTTCCCAATCTCTGAGGGACGCATTCAACGTGTTCCACAGAAGACTGACACTCTGGCTAGCACCAAACCCTACAAACTAAGACTTCCCAAGTATGTGCTTGTCCTGTAGTTGAATTCATTAATTAGGCACAGTAATTAAGAATTAAGAATGGTTAGTAAGGACTGTGTGTTAGAACTGTTAAGGAGACTGGGTCAGAGCTCCGGGTTGATCTGGGAGGAGATTCCTAAATTCTTTTTGAGAGAGAAAGGCAAGATGCAGAGAACTGTGATACATGACATGACTTTTGGGGTAGAAAACAGCAGAAGTGATGTATCTAAATGATATATTTTGTGTATCCACATAAAATTTTATTGCCATGAAGAATAATGTGCAAACATACAAATTATGTTGCTAATACAACGCAGTATAGGCTGGAGACCGGGGCCGACGTGGAGAACAGGAGGAAGAGAAAAACCAAGGAGAAATTAAGGGAAAGGATAGTACTTACACAAAATCACACTTACATATTTATAGGACATTATTTGGTTATTATACTATGTACAAATGTATTTTTAAAGCTCTGAATAAAATTCACTGGTTCTGTACTTTAGTAGAGTTTTAGATATTTTAATGTCATATTGTTATTATTTTTTGTAGTTGGAGGTAAAGAAACACTGGCTTTCCATTTGCCTGTTGAACCTAGCTCGCAGAGGCATTTTTCAATTTGAAGTATTATTTTTAATCGACACATAATAATTGCACTTATTTATGGGGTAAGACGTGCTCTACTAACACCGGCATACACTGTGTAATGATTGAATCACGGTGACTCACATGGTCACCTCCTCAAATGCTTCCAATCTCTTTGTCGTTAGGCTCAAAATCCTCTCCTCTGTCAGTATTGAAGGCTTCATCGCTACTGTTAGTTACAGTCCCACATCATGCCACAGAATAGCAGAACTTCTCACCAATGTTAATGCTCTACCCAAACCCTCAAATTTGGGCCAGGCGGATATGGAGGGACTTAAGTTATCACCTCCCATCTGATCTCCGAGTTGGGGACAAGCAGTCTGGGAAGAGTCAGCTGAGTCTGTTCTGTATGTCTGTATCTCCAGAAAGAATGAAATATTTCTGTCCCTTGAGTCACAGACCACCCCAGACTTGCCAGCTCCGTCCCCTGTGGTCACTTGGGCCAGACAACAGCAAACTCTTTTCTCACAGCCCAGAGCCTCCTGCCCTGCAAACTTAGCCCCTTCTGTTGGGTGTTACTAAGCCAGGAGTCTAAATATGGCACATGGCAGTTTGATGGAAATCATTTCCAGTAAAAGAGGATGTTCCCTCAGCAGTTTTTAAGCTGGCGCTGACTCAAGCATCCTCGAGGGAGCCCACTTAACTGGTCATTAGGGAGACAGCAATGAGGCATAGAGGAATTCTGTAACAAGATGCGTATCCTGTGTGGAAGGCCCCGGGGACTCTGACCTTGCCTCCCTGGACTGGCTACAGAGGTTTGACTGATGCTGCCACAGAGGATTCTGCTACACTGAATCTGCTGTTCCTGCGAGAGATAGACCATGCTGGTGCATTCTGGCTGAGGTTGGTGGGGGAATGACTGCAAAGGTGAGACGCCATGCACAGGCATTAGATGTTTCATGATGCTGGACCCAAGCTCTACATCCTCAGAGGTAGATAAGTGAATCAAGGTTTTGGAAGGAGAGATGAAAACTTGGACTAAGGTGTTTTGTGTATGTGTAAAATAGTTATACTGTCTTAAAGACAATTTGTATTAATTTTCACAAATAGGAATATTTACTGCATTTGGAGATAATTGAAAAAAAAATGGTTAGGGCCAGGCATGGTGGTACACTCAAAGGCAGAGGCAAGCAAATCTCTGTGAGATCCAGGCCAGTTAGGGTTATATAGGGAGACCCTGTCTCAAAAGAAACACATTTAACTTGATTATAAATAAATTATGTACATATCTATGTGTTCAAGTACTGTGCAACTACGCAAATATTCCACATATTTGAGCTAAATACAGGCATATATAATATTGATTTCTGCATACAAATGTATCTATTTTATGGAATTTTGAATAATCTGAATATCTTAGAATGTTGTCACTGGGTTCAGATACTGTTATGATTTAAATTTGAATTGTCTTCTGAAGCCTTATGATTTGAATGCTCTTTGGGAGGCCATGATACCTTTAGGGGTGATATTTGGCTGGCAGAAATAAGATAGGACTTTGAAAGTTATGCCCAGCCCCTAGGTCCTGCCATTCTGGTCTACTTTTTGATCCACCGTCATATAAACAGACTCTTCTAAACACTCTTGCAGTCATGGACTGAGCATGTCTGCAATGCCTTACCCCAGGATAGACTAAAATTTTCTGAAATTGATGCACAAAATAACTCTTCCCTCCCTTCAGTTATCTCTCTTACGTATTATGATCATAGTGATATAAAAGTAACTGCCTCAGAAAATTGGCACTCACAATGGGGTTGCTGCTGTAACTAAGTTTGACCATGTGGGTCTCAGGCCTTTGGAATTGTTTTGTGCAATGAATGGAGGAGGAGTTACCTGGAGATATGGGTTAGAGAAGCCCTAGGATGTCATAAGCAAAGTCTAATGGGTGATGCTGGTGAGAATTCAAAACACCAGAATGCTAGGAGAAATATGGACCCTAGAGACTGCTCGTGAGGTTTCAGATGGGAACAAGCACTCTACTGAAAATTGTACTAGAGGCCATTTGTGTTAGATTCTGACAAAGGATCTGTCTACATTCTGCCTGTGTCCTGAAATTTTAAGTGAGGCTGAATTCAAAAGCGATAGATTAAATAATTTAGCAGAGGAAGTTTGGAGGCATCAATGTGATGGCATAATTATTAGTGGCTGCTTTTAGTCATATTTCCAGTAAAAACTGGTAGCAAAAATCAGAACAGAGGGATTTGATAAACATGTTGTTGGGCCAAAATCTCTATTTTTAAAGTTGTGGAAAAAGCAAGTGTGGACAACTTGGTCACAGCTGCTAGAGAGAGTAGCATCATTAAAAACAAGCCTTGTCCTTTGCACAGGGCAGAGTTAGTAGGAAAAGTATCTCAAGAACATTTCTGGAATTGGTGTCTCCTGCCCTCAATGGCTCTGGGATGTAAAACTGAAAACTCATTTGAAAACCTTTCCTTTAAAAAGAGAGTGACTCCAAGATGCCCTGATGAAAACCATGTATGTGGAAGTGTTTTGTCAAGTTTATCTTCCAGGATGATCAGAGGCTGCTGTAGACTTGGTCCAGAGGAGCTTAGATTCTGATTCGGTAGTAGAATGTAGTGCTATCCATGAGATGTTGGTTTGTGCCAAATGTAAGAAGGGTGAGGTTCTAGACATTTGCCTGTGTTAGGAAAACCCATGAGGCCAGGCAGTGTGAAGCACGCTTGGGTTCACTGCAAGAGGCCCTGAGAGGTGAATTCACGAAGCTTAAAGGTAAAGCCTAAGTTGCAGTAGAGACTCCAGAATGTCAGAGATGCCAAAAACATAGTACCTCTGCCTTGGAAACTAGCAGGCTATGAGTGGAAATATCCCAAGACAAAGCCATGTGTGTTCATGTGGCAGGGTCAGAGGAGAAGAGCTGCCCAAGCCTGTTGGAATTCACAGCATGCCACAGAGTACTCCAGATGCTACAGGATTTAATGCTTTTCCTGTACAGTTTCAGTCTTAAGGCCAATCTCTTTCTGTTCTCCTGTTTGGATTGGAATGAGAATGTTTACTCTGTGCCTTAGCATCTCAGAAACATATAACCTTACTTTTGCATTTTATTTACAGGGGCTCAAAGTTAAGAGTTTGCCTTGACTTTGATTTTGATTATTGAACAGTGTTGAACTGTAAAGACTTTGACAGTTGTTGAAATTGGACCAAATGAATTGTGGATTATGAGATGGCCATGTGCCTTTGGGGTCAGGAGTGTAATGTTATGGTTTAATTTGAAATGCCTGTCATAGGTTCAAGTTTTGAATGCTTGTTCCCCAGCTGAGGAGGCACTGGAACCTTTAGGAGACAGAGCCTTGCTGGTAGAGATAGGTTTCTGGTGGTGGGTCTTTGAGAGTATTCCTGGCTTTTTGTTTCTGTCATGTTTTCTTCCTGGTATGCCTCCATGTAATCAGGCTCTGCTAAATATTTCAATGAATGAGCCTCTTCGTCATGTCCTCTCTGGTTTTGTAGACTAAAACCTTCTGAATCTGTGAGCCAAAATATTTCTTTCTTTCCTTAAGTTGTTTCTATAAGCTATGGCCATAGAGACATGAAGCGAATGAATGTAGTTGTCCTATTTTATTTTCTAAGAGACTGGCTTTTAGTCTTCAAAGAAGTTAATAAAGGTGCTAACCCTTCCCTTGATCACATGTTTAAGATTCTGTTTCCAGGTGCCAATGCATCTTTTCAACATTCCATTTCCTGAGAACCTCCCCCTTTGCCCGGAGGTCCATTTATAACACAGTGATATTTCAGTTAAGTAATGGACAGGCCATGATGTGAGCCACTTAAATGTCACATATGTCACATCTATCACATAGTACCATTACCTTTCAATCTGCTAATGGTTTATTTTAATAATCCAGAGGTATAGATGCTAATAAATAGGCTTCAAGGTTGGTTGAATTTTATTGTAAGGGCCAAGAGCTTGGAAATTCCAATGACCAGGTTTTAATTTTCATTTCTGATAACAAATTTGTTTAGTCACAAACTCTAAAAATACCTTTATAGAACCTAAAATAATCATACGACTAGACAACAATAGTTTATTGCCTGTTGATAAATGAAATACATAGCAAAAAATCCCCCATTTTTTTAAAAAGTGCAGAGTGTAAAGTAAGAGGCTGGTATTAGTCCATGAATCAGCATACATGAATTTGATTAATGTGGCGCTTACACTGGCGTCAGCTCTTCTGTTAGAAAAAACACCTCAATCATGGTGGTAATACCAAGGTGACTGTGCAAGGCTCACAGAAGCCAAAGAAAGGTTCCAGGGATATGGTGCAAACAGGCAAGCATTGAAGGTGTGTGGAAACTGGGAAGTCCTAGAGATGATTTAGAGCTTAGCTCTCACAAGGCAAGCAAAAATGATCTCAACCCCGCATACATTTTCCTTATTTAGTTTTTGGACATTAACACTGGGGTAGTGTTTATTATCCCCACTGGATAGGTCACAGAGCTGAGGTTCTGAAACATACCACTGTCTGAATTGATATCCAAGTCACATCCGGGACTTTAGACTCCCTCTCTAGTGCTCCTTGTGTTGCTGCATCTGAAGTTGACGGAATGCTGAGGAAGGGATTTTGACCTCCTTCATACAGTTTATGTCTTCAGTCTTGTGAAAAATCCTTCCATGGGGAGATGTAAACAGTATCTTCCCCTCCTCAAGGGTCCCAATAGCAAACCAAGGATTCCACCAAAGTTTTCCCTGGAGAAACTCGTGAGTTCTATGGGACTTTCTTACAGAACATGAATGAGGAACTGCCTATAGGAGTAGAGTGACTGTAAGAAAGTTTTACTCCAGTATGGATGATGGATTCCCCCTAACTGTATAGCTGGAGCCCCTTCCCAATTAACGGCCCCCCCCAGTCTATATACCCCTGTACCTCTCAACACCTAGAGACCATGTGCAGTTAGGGTAGAATTGCTTACAAATCGTTGGGAAGTGTCTGGAGTCTCAGGTGCCCCATCCCCTCCTTCTTAGGGAATGTCAACAGTCAACAACCCAGATCATGATGGGCTCTTGCAAGTAGGTACAGCTGATCTGATGAAGATGACCATTGTTTTAATTGGAGGACTGTTCTCTACAACATACCTCTTTCATTGGGGAATTGTAGACATTTGATATCTTTGAAGACCTGGAGACCCAGAGTAACAAGTTCTCAAGGGAATAGTAACCCTCTTACCATTAGCCACAGCATCACCATAGTGTCATAATAAAATGCTGGTGACTGGGCCCCGCATGTCTCATGGAGAACAACAGCTATAAATAGATATGTGTGCTGTGAGCTCTCTGGTGATGTGTTTTGATATGCTCTGATGGGGGATTTCTCCCTGCAGCTACTCTGGCTTTATCAGCTGTAGTCCCAGGAGCCTTGGGACCAACCAAAGAGGTTCTCAGAGGGGACCTGTAAGACCCCCAAGTGATGATAAGAAAGGAGAGATCAAAGGACACTGCACTCAGACTGAAAGGGCAAAGGACATTGTAAAGGCCCTTAGAGTGTCAAAGTGTGATCAGTATGCTGAACTCCAGTTATTTTATTTTATATCCATTTGTATTATTGTTAATTACTGATCACAAATTGAAATCTATATAGAAGAACTGGAAAATTCAGTTTTGTTTATGCATCTGCTGTTGACTTTGATGATATCAACTGAAATGCAGGAGGGAAGCTAAGACATACTGTGCACTAAGTTTATGACAGGCGTTTTAGATATTTCATCTCATTTAGCCTTCATGGCAATTTTAGATGATGGTGATTTCTATAGACATTCCACAGATGGGTATTATGGAATTCAGAGATGTCAAGAACTGTGGTGATGTTCATAGAACTAGTACTCAGCAAAGGCAGCATTAAGTGGCTATGTATCACACT